CTTAATCAGCTGCCCTGGTTGACATGCCAGAGATACGTGCCTCTCCGCTTGGGATCCTCAGCTACAAACCTCAGCTACAAACCTCTCCTGGAGATAGGCACCTAAGGTAGGTCAGCCACTTAGGTAGCCCAATGTCCTACAGCCAAAACAATTTCTTTCTCACCCTTGAGACCTCTTTCACACTCCCCTACATTTCTGTGTCCCTGGTCGTCTTCGGTGTGCCCCTTTACCTACTGATTGGCTGCCTCCAGCCCTCCTGCTGTGGGGGTTGTCAGGTCACAGGTGCGAGGCCTGCTCTGAGTCTGCCTATGGGATGGGCCTCGCTGGAGAAACTGGCAAGTCCCCGACTAGCTAGACTAGAGAATCCCACTTTGGGGCCCCCCAGCCTTTGGCTTGAGCTCTGTGCATCTCATTAGCTGCGGGATGGCATCAGCAATTAGGTGGCTTTGGCAATTCCAACGAGCAGCAATGTCGGTACCTAGGAGACATGGGCACCTCCAGGTTTCATCAGCAGCTGAGCAGTGGCTTTGAAAATGTCACTGGTGCCTGAATGCTAAGCTTGGGCCCCTAAATACACAGGTAAAGGGCTACAGTCCAGGATCTGGGCCCTGGTTCTGTGTCTGGGAGCTGTAACAGACTCACCCCCTCACTGAATAGGAGAAAAATAATTTGTGCTCACCAGTGGGTTAAAATTGCTGGTTAAAAACATCTTAATTTGTAAATTCTGGCAAAGTACCCTTCAGGTATGAAGGATAAAGCTACTAATGTTTATTAAACTGACATGGTTATTATGCAAGTCATTTTGTTAGGAGTTATTTTCTTTTCTTTAATAATTTACACTATTACTAGCAAGGAAATTGTTGTGTCCTGGAGTAATGTTCCCTGCCAAAGGGAATTTATTATTAGTTCCCCTGATTCTTTTCATTAGTTATTTTTCTAGGGCTTCTACAGTTTAAAGCGGGATCTCTTTTTACCTTAGTGGGTGCGCTGATAAGCAGGAGGGCTGTTGGTAAGGGGAGGGGAATGTAGCATTTGCTGATCCTTCCCGACCTCCACCTACTGAGTGGATGTTATTTTCTCAAGGGGAGGGGAGAGAGTCCCTAAGGAGACCAAATATTCCAAGTATATTGTATTGCTGCTTATCAACAGTCAGGAGATGGTGAAAAATATTTAAAGCTTTCAAGGGAAAGCAGGTGAGCTCCTCCAGGGTCATTGAACTGTTCATTGGAGGGGCCTCTCATTTCCAAAACCTTTGACTCCACTGTTTAATAAAGTGAATTCTGTAGCCAGGTGGAGAATCTACAGGAAAAGTTGTCAGATGAATGGGATTTATTTTTTAGGCCCCAGTAGTGCAGTGAGCTTCACAAGACCAGACCCCCCACATCAGATCCTTTTATCTTTCTACTTTGGCTCCATCCGTTTTTCAGGAGGGGATTAGACCAGAGTGACAGCACATTGGGACCTGGTTGTGCAAGGTGCAGAATGCCCTCAGCTCCCTCCGACTCCCAAGTGGCGTTCAGCACCTTGCAGGATCTAGCCCTTTGCTCCATAAAAATTTTCTTTGTAACAGGTAACAACCCTAAAACGAATAGAAATGTTCACTCAGCTAGTCCGTGGCAGCGTTATCTCCTATCTGTAAAATGAGGATGAGAATATTTACTAAGGTCCTGATTCTTCAAAGATTTGCACACACTAACAAACACACACATACTGTCATGCGCCCATAATTTCACTGGGACTACTCACAGTTAAGCATGTGTGTTTAATCAGTGAAGGACTGGGGCATTATCTGTTGAATATAGATGTTTTGAGATTCAATATTTATATAGTTTTTAAAAAATATAATGCATTATTGAAGTGTGCTTTTTATTATTTCATCTATGGGATGCCTTTACCTCATTCAAGGAGATTACAACTGTTGAGCTATTTAGATTTGCGGCCGGGTGAGCTGGATGTGCAAAAAAAATCCTTACATTATTGGATACACAGATTATCTCTTATAAATCCAACCTGGTGAGTTTACACATGAGATTCTGAGTCACAAGATCTTGAATTTTGGCATACATTTTATCCTCATAATTTATAGCTATTGGCCTCCCATCCAACTAGTGGAATCTCTACTGGGATTTTCAGTAATAAATGCTTCTGAAAACAATTCTGCGGGTTTTTAATGACAAGATTTCATTATAAAGATTTGACAATGTATGGGTTAAAATCTCTCTCTACTTTGAGAAGAATTCTGCTGGGAAACCATCTCATCCTGGGGCTTTTAAAAAAGCTTTATTCATTTCTGTTATTGCTTTATTAGGGATGGGAGCATACACGTTACTGCTACTGGTTAGGTTTAAGGCTACTTTAGGGAATTTTTAAAAAAATGCTTTGAACATTTCAGAGCATGCTTTAGCCTCAGGAATGTTTAGCTGTAACATTTTCAAAATTTTGTTGATGGCTTTGTCCTTTATTAAAAAACCTATCATCAGATGGTTTAAGTGAAGCAATTGTATTTCTTGTTTTATTCTTCCTATAATTAGGTAAGTGACTATCAGTTTTGCTTTTTTCAAAGCAGCAGCTTGCATTTAATATGAAGGGAAAGACAGACAGTATTGCTTGTAAGTTCAATTATATTTATATTCTAGTGCAAATCTATTTCTTAAGTTATTAGTCTTTATAAATTGACTTTCCAGAACTTCCAATTTCACTTTCCATTGTCAGTTCTCTACTGTTGCATTTTTCATGTTGTTTGGCTCCATTCACATAGCCCTTCTAGGTATTCAGATGTTAGGATAGGACTTCCCATCTATCTTATTGTCCTGACAGAGTGGTAGGAGTATGAGGGAAAAAAGGTTAATTTCCTTTCTATAATATTCAGCACTCTCCCAGGTTCCAGTAAATTAAGATAATTTATTATCAGTTCAATAACAGGCTTTCAACAATTTAACTTTGTATAAATCTAAATAAATAAAAGGGTAATTTAATTTCAACACCCAACTCAAGCCTCACACAAAACATAATATACACATTAATCAGTTCGTTATACTAAATCCCTTTTATAACTAGCCACCACGCTAGTATCATGTGCTCACTCCATGGATGCTACATATAAGAGCAGGATTAGGGCTGTAATCTATCGAGGAAGGATGTAAATTGAATGTATCAAACCCAATCGTTACTTGAGAATGCCTTTTTCTACCATGGTACAACCTTGTTCACTTTTGACTCAGTGAGGATAATAAAGAACAGGCTGAGAATTGTTATTGGATTATCAGGATGTGATGCTAATTAATCCACACAATCAAGAACTGTGTTAGTAGCTGAAAAACGTTAATGGTTCTTTACTGTACAATAAAGTCCCTAATTTATAAAGAGAAGTGACTTTTCCACTTAGGTTCAAAATAAATGCAATTCTGCCATTTTATGATCAATTATAGAAACAAATACAATTAGTGTTTACTTTCCCAAAGGAAATGGACATCTTGTTTATACAAAAATATACAGCACTAATATACAAACAGCTTCAGGATATGTGATCATAATATTGCCAAACTTGGGCGTTCAAAAATGATGAGTTATGCTCTAAAAATCATGATTGTCTTAAACATCATGAGATTTTTAAAATAATAAATTTGGGGTTCTTTTTATTTGCCTTCTGGTGTCAGTGCCTTTATGGTTCATGTTTTCAAGCCCCCTTCCCCCTCAGTTATGAGGGTTAAAAACTTATTTTTTAAATAATGAGCAGATTCTTATGGTTTCACATGAATTCAGGAGCTAGAGCTTTCAGAAAACACCTACAATTATGAGAGTTGGTGTGGCAGGGTGGACTAGGTCCAGAGGCCCCCTGGCTCGAGGCCTCGCAGCCCTGTGTCACCCTGCTCCTGAATAGTGCAGCGAGAAGTCCTCCAGGCAGCCTAGAGTGGAAGCGGAGGAGCGGCCAATCAGAGGGGCTGCTGGAACAACCAATAAGGGGCCAGAAGGGCCAGATAAAAGGCAAGCAGCAGAGCAGAGCCTTCAGTTGCTGTGTGGAACTCGAAGAGGGATGATCGGGTACCTGGCTGGCTAGATTAACCGGGGACAGCTCACTGCAGAGGGCTCACTAGACAGAATGGAGCCCAGGGAAGCCTGCCAAAGACTAGGTGCCTGGCTAACTGAATACAACAGCAACAGGACCATGAAAAGGTCAGTGTGGGCAGGCTGAGCCTGGGGGACTGAGCACAGAACCTGGCCAGACCAAATGAGGGTACCGAGATGGGCCTGCTGGTCTGGTTGCAGACTGAGACCAGGGAGGGCTGCTGAAAGGACACTAGCCGAGGGTTCTGAGCTGGGCCCCAGGCTGGGCGGTCGAAGAAGGCAGTGCCTCTGAGAGGAAGCCTAAGGGCTACGGCCCCATAACAGGGCTGCGATAAGAACTTGGGACTGTATACCCCAGAAGGGGGGGACAGTTTGTGAGGCTCGGCTGGAGGGCTGAGCTGCTGAAGGCCCGCTGAAAGATCAGCTGGGGGGGCCAGGGTGCTTGCTAGAGTCGGGTGCCATCCTGATGTAAGACCAAAAAACAAAAGCAGGCTCACACCCAACTAACCACAGGGAGCCATCACAAGAGGTGAGTGCCGCCCCGTGAAAAAGAATTGTGATTGCAAGTACATTGGCCAGAGAAAGGGGGCGCTCATGAGAGGTCGACGCCGTTATAGTTGGTAACACTGTGATCACTAATGCCTTAGGAAAATAATATAATTCCCATTTTCCCCCTTTGTCTGTGAGCAGATACAATATTGTTGCTCCACTAGTACAAAGATTGGGTCAGAATCCGCGAACCTTTATGCCTGAGCCAAACTCAGTCAAGTTTGGGGAAGCTGGTGAAACACTGAAACCAATGTAACTACTCTGGTGAGCAAAATTAAGCACATGCCTAAGTGTTTGGAGGATCTAGTTCACTAGCTGTAATTTTAGGAAGCAGTTTGCAAAAATAAAACCCAATTTATAGTGGTTATTAACAAACTATTTATTAATAACAAATTATTTATTAATAATTACCACAGTTATCTGGTATACAGTTTTTCCTTATCCTTATCTCTATTTAGTACTGTATCCTGCAATAATTAATCAGGGGTTGATTTCATATAAGTTACCATCACATATAAACAATAATAAAAATATAGCAAACAGTCAAATCAGTATTCAACAGCTGAGTACTGTGCTCCTGTCTGCTGTTGCTCATCTCACACGAGGCTGGTTGATGTAGAGCTTAACAAAGCTATGCACGGTTACTGGGATGTTATGTGCAACTCTGTTGCCATGGCAGCCAATACTTAGTAACATAGCTCCGCCCCATATTCGCCACGAGGGGGTCTCCATCATGCTCCTGGCCAAGATCCGTGAGAAATGTGACTTGCCTCTGTACTCAGACCTCTTCAACCACCTGCTAACTTCACCTGTCTTCTAGATACTCTTTATGGTCACTTATACCACCACAGGACATGATGGTGGAATCTGCTTAGCGTAATGAGTGGTCAGTGGTGATAGTCATTAATCATTTTCTCATCACTGCCCCAACCATCTGACCTGCCAAAGCATGTGTGGGCTTCCCTGAACCAGTTTCAAACAGGGCAATTGTGTGGCCAATCTCTTCAAATGGGGTTTCTCTAATGGCCCACAATGTAGATGCGGACAACTTCAGACTATGTTGCATATCCTTGACAAGTGCCCGCTGACGGCTAGCTACCAGCTCTTCACCTGGCTGAAGACGATGCTATCAAATGGCTAGGCACACTGCGCATACGCTGAGAGTACAAAACTCATACAATGAATTATTTGAGCACTACATCCTGCCCTCAGTTATGTAATGTATATCACAGAGTATGACACAAATTCACTTACTGCTCCTGTGTGCACTAAAACAATAGTTAATAGATATAGATTGTGCACTGCTGGGTGACGAGTGCAAAATCCAGTTGTAAGAATAAAAACTATTTACAATGCAAAAATCAAACTATTGCAACTTATACAAAAATTGTTTTTTAACAATGACTCAGATGATTTTCTCCTTTTTCATGATCCTTATTTGGAAATAAACTTCCTCTCACTAATTGATGCACTGAATGGCTATCTCCCTCATTAGCCCATGTTTGCCAGTGCAGCCTTCTTGGAATTTAGGAAGTTCTTTTTCTTTTTTCTTGGAGAACTATGCAAAGCAAGTATGGGATCCCTTTGATCACGGAACAGAAATATCTTCTCCCCTGTGTCTAATAGCTCAATGGCTTCTGCAGCAGCAGTGTTCAATGAATCAGGCTGGCCAGAAGGTTCCACAGGAGGGTGTCTAGACAAACATCCGAGAGGAGAGAACGATGTTCTTTCCATGAGTGCAAGTTGCTTCTTCTTTAGCAGGCTATATTAAGAAAAGGAAATAGAATTTAAAAATGATTTATAAAAATAATAGTTCCAGCACAAAATGATTCGCTTGACTGTACAGTCAAATCCTGGAAAAAATATTCATTGTACTTTGGGAGACTAATGTAAGCCATATTTAGAAATTGACATACTGTATGCATCATTTTCACCACCCCAACCCAATTTCCACTTTACTGTATGAAATATAGCATCCAATGAGTAAGCAGCCTTATAACAAATGTTACATACAAGGAGGCAAGTGGGCAAAACATGTGGAGCATCAATATTTCCCTTGCAAGACTTTAATATTATTGCACAGTAAGTGTACAGGATGCTTTATGAAACATGAGTTTCATATTCACATGCATTCTGAGAACCAGGACAACAGTGGTAGAAGATATACATTTGTGAATATGTTCATGAATTCTAAAACACTTCTCACAAAAAGGACAACTCTTGGGGGATATAAGGTACAAGGAGTTGTATTTCCCCCCCATAGCAAGTACTAACTTTTTCTTTACCTTTCTTTACTCCTGTTTGCAGAATGCATCTTCTCCAAGCCTTTGCTTATCAGATCCTGCCTTACTTTGCTCTCTAACACTTGCCATGACCCTTGGTGCTTCCTGAAGGAGTAAGAGGGGAGGGGAAACAAAAGAAAATGCTGAATTTTACACCCCCACCTTCAAAACAAAACACCAAAACCAAACAAAAATCACCACCACCATGTGGTTTTAGGTATTAAAATGAATGTTAATAATAACGTAAATACATTCAGCAGGAATGTTCAGTTATTTTTGCTATAATTTCCTGCCCAACAATATTTATTATGAGAGAGATCCTGGCTCACCCTGTGCTCCCCAGCAAGGGAGTGAGGTAGTGTACGTTGCCTCCTTCATCCTCTGTGACTCCCATATTCTAGGTTGCATTAGCCTTTGTGGATCTGTCACCCCCCTTCCTGTGCAGGTGGACAAGGAGTGGGAGGGCAGGGCCAAGGACTGGGCAAAGCCTGGATTCCATTCTCACAACATACCCGCCAGCACAACTGAGCCAGTGCAGAGAGGAAAGTAATCTCAACCAGGAAGGCCGGGGGAAGATTACATGCCCCAGGGAGTGAGAGGGAAACCAGGAACCAAACTGTGCCTCGGGGCTGTGAATTATGAGGTTAAGCATGTGCATAAATGTTTGCAAGACAGGGGCCTTGGAATGCAGCTAGTTCTCCATGAGGTATTGTCACTTTACTAGATTTAAAAGAAAAAACAAAACAAAACAGTTACCTACCTTTTTGTAACTGTTGTTCTTCAAGATGTGTTCCTTCTGTCCATTCCATTCTAGGTGTGTGTGTGTGTGTGTGTGTGTTAGGGTGACCAGATGTCCTGATTTTATAGGGAAAGTCCCGATATTTGGGGCTTTTTCTTATATAGGCATCTATTACCCCCCACTCCCATCCTGATTTTTCACACTTGCTATCTGGTCATCCTAGTGTGTGTGTCCATGTGCACAGTCATTGGAGATTTTTGCCTTAGCTGTATCTGTAGGGTCGGCTGTGGCGC